CCGATCGACCAAAAACAGCCTTCGTGACACCGGACGGTCTGTATGAGTTTAATGTCATGCCCTTCGGCCTCTGCAATGCGCCTGCCACCTTCGAGCGCATGATGGACTTGGTTCTTCGGGGTTTGAAATGGCAAATCTGTCTGTGCTATCTCGACGATATAGTCGTCTTTGCGCCAGACTTTGAAACACATATCGAGCGCCTCAAACACGTCCTCACGTGCCTGAAGAATGCTCAGCTCCAACTCAACCTCAAGAAGTGTCACTTCGCTGCTCGGCAACTTACGATTCTCGGGCACGTCGTATCAAAAGACGGTATACTTCCAGACCCGGCTAAGTTACGTGCTGTCGCCGACTTCCCCAAACCAACGACTATGAAGCAGTTACGGAGCTTCGTGGGGTTATGCTCCTACTTTCGCCGGTTCGTGCGCAACTTCGCCTCTATCATTGCGCCTGTGACCAAACTTATAGGCAGCACCACTGATATTTCGTCATGGTCTTCTGAGTGTGACCAAGCCTTCTGTACCCTTCGTCGTCTCCTCACTTCGCCACCAATACTGCGTCACTACGATCCTACGGCAGCAACTGAGGTCCACACCGACGCCAGTGGTGTCGGCCTCGGTGCGGCTCTCGCGCAACGCAAGCATGGATTCGCCGAGTATGTCGTCGCCTACGCCAGCAGAGCTCTTACCAAGGCTGAATCAAACTACAGCGTCACCGAGAAGGAATGCTTGGCGATCGTTTGAGCGCTTGTCAAGTTCCGCCCATACCTTTATGGCCGTGCTTTTGATGTAGTAACGGACCACCACGCATTATGCTGGTTATCTTCGCTTAAAGACCCATCGGGTCGTCTTGCCCGTTGGGCTCTTCGGCTTCAAGAATATGACATTCGCGTGGTATAGCGTTCCGGCCACAAGCATGCCGATGCTGATGCACTGTCACGATCTCCCCTATCCCCGGACATCGCATCTGTTTCCTCGGACAACACGTTGTCAGCGCTTGACGAGGACACCATCTCTTCTGCACAACGCAATGACCCATGGATCGCTTCGCTTCTTGACGCGTTATCCGAGGCACCGACACTTCCAACCACTCGAACCCTGCGCCGCCAGGCTCCGCACTTCAGTATTCGGGATGGCCTTTTGTACCGGCGCAACTATTCAGCAGATGGTAGGAAATGGCTACTAGTCATTCCCCGAACGCTGCGCTCTACCATCTGCGCGTCGTTTCATTACGACCCGCAATGTGCTCACGCCGATGTTTTCAAGACCTACGAGCGCCTACGAAAAAGGTATTACTGGCGCGGAATGTTTACCTTCGTCCGCCAGTTCATTCGCGGCTGCCACGAATGTCAGCGGCGGAAAAGCCCGCCACATCCTGCAACAGGTTCATTGCAGCCACTTCCATGCCCAGACCGCCCATTCAACCGAGTAGGAATTGACCTCTACGGACCACTACCATTAACAACGGCAGGCAACCGATGGGCTATCGTGGCAGTGGATCATCTAACACGGTACGCTGAAACTGCTGCTCTCCCCACAGCTGCAGCACAAGACGTCGCAACTTTCATACTCAATCGTTTTGTGCTTCGTCATGGTCCTCCTCGAGAACTCCTCAGTGACCGAGGGCGTGTTTTCCTCTCCGATGTAATACAAGCACTTCTTCAACAGTTCCATGTGGTTCACCGGAAGAGTACAGCCTACCACCCACAGACGAACGGCTTGACTGAGCGGTTTAATCATACTCTGGGGGACATGCTCGCTACGCATGTCGCTTCTGATCAAACAAACTGGGACCTCGTTCTCCCATTTGTTACATACGCGTATAACACCGCTACGCAAGTCACTACCGGGTTTTCCCCATTTTAGATGCGGAAGCATCTTATACTCGCGCCTTGTAGTGCGCCGTCCGCACCGCTTCTGGAACATTCGGCAGCTGACGCGCGCGCATGCGCCGTCGCGCCGTCGCCCACCATCTGTGCCGCGCGCGCTTCTCCTTCGAGAACATTCGACAGCTCACAGCGCATGCGCCGTCGCGCCGTCGCCATCTGTGCCGCGCGCGCGCTTCTCCTTCGAGAACATTCAACAGCTGACAGTGCATGCGCCGTAGCGCTGTATATATACTCAAGGTCGGCGCTCGCTCGCTCAGTTGCCGCTCGTCGGTTGGTTTGTACGGCGCGTCGACGTCCAAGGTCGCGGTGAAATGAATTCCAACGAATCCACAAACACAATGATCGACGTCCCTTCGACCAGCGCCGTCCTTTCGCATACGTGTGTACGTGTTCACTCATTTAACACCCCCTCCTACAACCACGTTAACCAATTTAGCCATCGACCCAAGTAAGTCGCAATTTAACACCCCATTTCACAACCACGTTAACCAATTTAGCCATCGACCCAAGTAAGTCGCACTTTAACACCCCGTTAACCAATTATATGCTCCGCATCCTCCTCAGTGTTCCCCCGAGGGAAGCTGCGGGCAATTTTTTTTTCTCCTGTACGGTCGCGAACCATCACACACCATCGACACTTTACTGCCATACTCGCCAGATCCCTCCGAATACAAGCCTGTCTCGGAAGCCGCTCGTTACGCAGAAGAGTGCCGCAAGCTAGCCAAGCGGCTTACTACATCCGACCAACAGCGCCAGAAGGAGATCCATGACGACCATCGTTCTGCACCAACGTTCATTCCTGGAGCACTTTTATGGCTTCATGTACCGCGCTGCGCCCCTGGTGTATCACCGAAGCTACTCTCCAATTATCATGGTCCCTACCGCGTGGTCGAGCGTACTTCACCCGTGAACTACGCCATTGAACCCCTCACGCCACCGAGCGACCGTCGTCGGCGTGGACGTGATATCGTTCACGTAAACCGTCTGAAGCCGTACTTTGACCCGCTTGTCCCCACGTGTTAGATCGCCAGGATGGCTTCAACTTTTTCGCCGGGGGTAATTGTAGTGAATAAGAAAGACGTTGATACCATCAGGTCAGCTATCATCAGCACAAGAAAAAGGCACGAGATCGGTGATCAAGCACCGCCATCTGGGTTCGCCTGCCTTCCTTTAGAGCTACCACCCACTTGCTGAGTCCTTCAATAAACCCCTTTACAGGTGTAACAAAAATGTTTATTAAAATATATAAATGGTCAAGTGCACGTGACGTTTTACAGACAAGTGAAAGTACCGAACCGTCAAGGTTTTAAGGTGTTCAGCTTCCGCTTTTCGGCCACTTTCTTTTGGACAAGTTGATCGTTTTTAAGTTTACAATAGTTTTTCAGCAGAATGTTGGTTGCAGCACTAAGTAGGTGTTGTAGCACTAATCCTGGGCTGTGACCGCTATGACATTCATCCAAATGGCTGACCTCCATCAAGAGGTTGCACGTCAGCGAAAAAAGGACTTGCTTTTGATTGGGGAGTGCATGAAAGACAGTAGAATACTTGTGACTTCGTAGTTTGTCCAACATTATTTCGGCGGTCATAACAGCATTCACCACTGCAGGTTGGGGAAACTTAAGTCCTCCACGACTCATGCTCTCTATTACTTCTGCGTTTTCCAACACGATGTCCTCTTCTTCCACTAAGTTTGTTCTGCACGTAGTGCATGACAGCTTCTTAAGTGCCGCATGGGCACAATAGCCTGCGACGTATGTTATGGCAGGAAGATTAGGGGCCTTCATTTCAATGTCCTTAGCATTTACTTCAATTTTGAATTTCTGCAAAATGGCCTCATCAAATTTGATTGGAGGCGTTTCCGCGTCCATCTCTGGCAACTTCAGGGCACTCTGTAGACGAAGCTTGCGTTCGGATTCATATATCTGCCTAATGGAGACATGGTATTGAGACCTGGAAAGTGGTCGATACTTGCCAAATCTTTCCTCCAAACAGTCTGTCTGGAACTTGCCCAGGAGTACATAGTCAAATTCAAGGTCTTCGAGGCAATATGCGACAAGCTTGATCGATGTCTCTGTAGTGAGTCGAAAAGCACTGTGGGTCTCCCGTGTGAGAATTCCGTTATCGAACTTCAATTGTTCCCACACGTCAAGCCACTGCATGATGCTTCGAAGGAATTCCACTTGTGGGTACAATGTTTGCGTGATGGGAGTCTGCAGAATATCGCGAAGCCGTCGTCCTTTGTTGGGAGACTTAACATTATTAATCTTCCACCACGTTTCTACAATCCTTATGAACTCTGCAGTTCCAGGTGTGTGCTGCAAGTCATAGCACTGGTCATATGTTTCTAAAGCAGCTGTCGTGGATGGATTAAACACTTTCAGGGCAAGTTTAACATTCTGCCTCTCCATGCAGGAAGGATTGAGAGCTTTTATTGTGAGCATTGGAGCAGCCTTCACAATTTGATCTTGTTCCCTTGAGTGAAGATCCCGGAGGGTCTTGAAGGATGCTGTGAGAATTTTCGGGCTGCCATGCAGATCCAGAAGAGAAAGAAAAAACATGCATGTGCCACTGTTCTTTTGATTAATCCAATTGTTACGAACACATTTTAACAGGTGAACGGGATCAACAACAACAAAAAAAGAGGTTGTGTCGGATCTGATGGGTGCGGGTAGGAGCTGCTGACTTTTGATGAATTTCCAAAAAGAGACATTGTTCTGCGATTTATAGAATTGTTATCCGTGATAACAGCAATGACGCGAAGACCAACTTTTTCAAGCTCACTTATGATGCTCCGGAGGACAGTGTGAAGCTTTTCAGCGTTGATTTTATCAACTGGCAAAATATGAACAACACTTTTTTGAGCTGAAAGAAGGCTTTGCATCATGAATACATGTGCTGTCTTGGCTGCATTCGAAGTGTTACTGGCAACGCCGACGATTGTGTCACCTTTGTAATCTAAATACGGTTGTATATGCATTTCATCCATCATGAGTACCACAGTTTTTTCATGATCCTTCATTGCAGTCACGAGTTTCTTCGCATACAACAAGAATGAAACATCCTGTTGTTCAGCTCCTGGATTCACAACATGAGAATTGCATACACATCTGATTGTTGACTCATGCGGCAGTTTGAGACCTCCGTAGTTCCTCAAGTATCTATAGGCTTGAGGAGAGATGGTAAATAGGAGGCTCGAAAATACTAGCAAGTCTGAAGAGTACAGGGTGACTTGCTTAAAAGGAGCATGACTTGTTCCCTTAAGAATGTACAAGCATCGCGTCGCTCCTCGTCTTGCATTTCTTGATTCATTACGTCCTCAAGAAGCGACACCACGAGCTTTAGTATGCCACTGGTCTTGTCCTCGGACTTCAAGGTAGGTGTCTCATCAGATCCCTCAACGGCTTCCAGAAGACGCGTCAAGCACCGAATGTCATTCACAGTTTTGGGAATGTCGATGCCATCAAGTTTGGTGACCTCGACGTTTTGAAAAAACAGCGTGAAAGAGAGGTCCTCTGTGATTTTCACTGATTTTCTGACAGCTGGGGCACCATCAAAAGTCAGGTTGAGGAAGAGTACACAGTCATGCTGCGTAAAAACTGTCCAGAATTTTGAAACCTTGATATGCGGAAGACAGTTCAAGAGTGCCTGAAAAGTGTCAATTCTGTTATTTCGCTCCTCCTCGAGATGCGTCTCGATGGTCAGGTTGACGGCTTCTTGCAGTAAAGCTGCCTCTCGACGAGCTTTCTTTTCATGTGGGGCCTCTCGAGATGTGGTTGCGGCTGTGGCGGAAAGATAAGCTGGACAGCTCGGCAATATGCTTGGAACTGCGTCAGGTCGAAGACGGGTAAGCCTCAGCTTTGCTTCAATTACTCTGCCTGTCTTTGTATCCACATAGCTTGTTGTGTTTACCATGTCGGATAGTCTGAAGTGGCGCTCGCAGACCTAGTATACGAAAAAAAGACAGAATAACGTAGTATTTTAAGTTAAGAAGCAGTAGCTCATCTTCATGGCAGCAAAGTAATGGACACTTCGAATATTTATCAAGAAGCCCGTGGTGCCGAATGTCATCTATACAAGGTCACTCCCTCATATTTGCCACGCAAACATTCTTTTTATCTAGAGTGGGCGTTTTCGTTATCTCTCACATCAATCCCCTTGGTGTTATTCAATGCACAGGAAGTGTAGAAAACGACACTTAATAGGAAAGTTAGCCTTACCACTGATCGCTTTCCTGGTGTGAAGTCCGCACGGTGAATAGCCTTAATCCACTGAGTTCTTCTTGTAGGGTCCGAGGGGAACGTGAACACACGCACAGATTCTCCACCGTCATAGTTCCCGTGGCACCACGGTACACAGCAATGCCCAGGCATTATCACAGCTTGCCCACTCAACGCACACACTCTTGGTTGGACTCACTCATGCCATCGTTAATAAGGCAATATACCAACACTCTCGCCGATGCACAGAGCACGAAAACACACAAACACAGTTTTACAACGCAACAGCTCGAAAAATTAGCCACATGAACCGCGTGTCTACTGATGTTTATGGTCCTGCGGATGCCTTCACCCCCTTCAGCATTGCGCTAAAATATCAAAAATAGAAACAAAACGTGGCGTAAAACCCAATTTTAACGTTCCAAAAGACTACGTTTACTGATACGCACGTGTTTCACGCAATAATAAATTAATCCTGAGGTCAAATTTTAAAGCAAAACGCTACAAAGGATTTCCCAAAATTCGGCACTCCGGCTTGTTTTATTTCGTGCGTGCACAGTAGCGCAGATACCACAAAACCGGTCGGAGCGGGGCGGAGCGATGGAGACGGGTTGCTTCGGAAGGGGAGCTTCCCGAAAGCGGGTCGAGAGACGGCGAAGCAGCTCCGTCGGAGTGTGGTGACGTAGGCGCTAAGGAGAGGAGGAAGTGGAGAGGCCTTAGCTAGTCTAGAGGGTGTTGGTCCGACCCACCTACCCTCTCCTGTCCTGCTCTCGCCCATCGCCTAGCGTTCGCGTGTGCTCTTCAGTCATGGGGAAGTGAAGCTATGGATTCGCTCGCAGGATTTCAAGCTGGAAGTGTGGCAGCTTGGGCTAGTTGGTATGGCATGACGATAGTTATAGCGCGAGAACAAAACGACGACCCAGAGACAAGAAGGACACGAAAGACACGAGCGCTAACTTCCAACTGAGTTTATTGCGCAGAGCACGAAAATATATAGAGGAGACAGTGACCATGTGATAAAAACCATATGGCACAAGAGCAGAACATGAGTAAGAAAAACAAAAACAAACAACACAAAAACAAAGGCACTGAAAAACAGCAAAGAAAAAACCTAGAAGAAAACGAAACAGAAAGGTAAAGATAAAATAACTACCTGCCCGCACCGAAACCTTCGAGGAACCTGCGTTCCTTCTCGGACAAAGCCACGGAGGGCTTGCTAATACAAGGCACCTGTTCGCGTGCCATCTGCGCAGCCTCGACAATGACCCGGGTGTTTACATCTCTGTGTTTGTACAGCGTCGCTGTGTCCTCGAAGAGGGGAACACAATTGCACTCAGTGCAGTGCTGGGCAAGAAAACCATCTTTCCCGTTTCTAACATTGTTCGCGTGCTCTCTCAGCCGATCGTTCAGACACCTTCCGGTCGTTTCGACATAACAAGCACCATATGAAAGGGGGGTCCTATAGACGACTTCCCGGGAGCAGGCCGCATACCTGTTTCGATGTTGAACTCTGCATTTTGTTGATGATTTCGTTTTCAGGGGGTTGGTAGATTTGGTGAGGCTGATTAATTTGAACGGTGCCGAGAACAGGACACGAACAGGACACGAAGCTGGACGGTTGTGCCCTCGCGATCTCCGACATCAGCGTAGCTCCCGCCGACTGGTTCGCCCTCCGCGGTCTCCTGGCGCCGTGCAGCTCTCGCATTGTGGCACCCCGCCCTTGGACTGCTTCGACCGGATCCCCACTTTCCTATCTCCTTCTTTTTTCTCTCGCTTGGCTGTCTTCTTCTCCGTCTATTTTCCTTCTATTCTTTTTATCCCTCCTTCTCCCCACCCCTATAAGGCACTGCGCCGTGTCGCCTGAAGGCAGACAGAAATTAGGTGCCTTTTTCCTCTTCATTCTAACCACTACCACCACCAAGTGAAGCTAGGGAGCTTTCGTGGGATGCCTCACGACGTAAATCGTAGGAAGTAATTTTTTGTTCAGTTGTGTACAGATCCGTGGGGCGGCGCCTTGCATTCCTCGTGTTGACGTGCGCACATATCGAGGCACGTACCCTGCCCGTGTTCACAATGTTAGCGGTCACGCTGGCATGTAAGAGGTACAGTGTTTTGAGATAGCGTGTCTCCGTTCGCGGCACTATGCGCGCAGCCAAATGGGCAACTACACTGCTGCATGCGCTGCCTTCGGGGTGCTGTGGTATTGTATGGAGCGACAGAGAAGGAAGGAACAAATCTGACAGATGTGTGATATTTGAGAGGGATACACGTCTATCGCATCTCCGTGGGAAGGCGGGCGAACGCACCTGTGACACAAGCAGCATACCCTAATCGCTAAAGAGCGCGCGTTTGCACTAGCATTGAAGGAGGCGTTGGCTTTGCCACACAATCGCGTGACCTTGTCTCGCATGGTCCCTCTGTTTTCCTACTGCGGAGATCCTGACTTGCTCGTTCCACGTGTTTTGTGAAGAAAAAAGTGCCGAAGAGGAAGGAAAGATCTCGCCTGCACTTGCGTACCCGGCTCACCGCGGGCCGCTTTCGTTCCGAGAAGGCGAACAGGCCCACTGAAGCAACCGAGCCTGCGCTGACCATGAGCAGGACGTTCAAGGCCAGCAGGAAGGCACGGTGAAACCGGTGCTGCGGCTCGCTTCGTTCGGCCATGGTGGCCGGTTCCTCCTCCTGCTCGTCTGATGGTGCTCCTTGGAGGCACTTACCCACTGCGAGAAATCAGCCGTGCGGATCATACAGTCTGCATTTTTTGTGTCAGTCTGGACACGAAATCGAAATATTTTACTTTAAATAAATGTTCTGAGAAATCTAAAAAAAGTGCTCTTGTGTCTATAAATTCGCTACCTCACAAAGGCAGTGTCATTATAGGGTGCGGATTCCTCTGTGAGACGTTTCATGGCAGTGGGACGTCACGGGGAGACGGTAGATCTGCTCGCGACACACGATGAGTGAATTGTCTCCATGCAATAGTTCACAAAGTCCAGATACACTAATGTGTTCACTACATTGCAGTGGGACTGACTTACTAAATTTTAGTCACGAAAACTTTATATCAAAGAAAATAGTGTATGCATTTTATCTTTGTCTGGTGTGGGGTAGCATATCAACGAAATGAAAAAAAAAACGTCTCTTCTGCAATGTCTCAAAACTGAGTCAGCAGAGATGATTATAATGAAACGTTATTTATAGTGAATCCAAATTTCAGCTTGCGGCGTAACCTTCCAATGAACAAAAACTTATGCTCACTTCAACTCATGCGTAGGTATTGTAACCCACTTCTTGAGAGCACTTGCGTGGATTATCCGTTCAGCGTCTACAAATAAGCATGTTACTTAACACCCAGGCCTACCTATAAAATGGTGGTATCTTGAAAGCGTGGATTACATTTACATTTCTCGCAATGCAGAGTGGAATCTATCTAGCGGCCTTTCTTTGTTGCTATATGCTCACGCGGCCCGTCGTTGACTCAGCTGCCCGTCTGCCCTACGTAACTATTTCCACAACTTAACTGGTATATAACGCCCGGGCGTTGCTGTACGGCTATGCGACGCTATGACGTATGAATTGCGTAAATTTCCACATTGCTCTTTTTAATGCGATCCTTCTAAATGGAATGGCATTGCGTCATGACGCGGGGATAAGGCAGGTCGTAAGCGCATACAACACAGGCGAAATAGCGGCTGAGATAAATAGTTTTCAAGTGGCTTGTGCGACGTGAAGGGCTGTATCAGCTGCTACGATGACTGAGTGGCCTAGCTTGAGAATGATAAAATTTGTAGAACAAGCAGTGTCGACTGGCCTTCGGCCTAAATATGAAGGTGGTCGCGTTCCTGATTTGTGCTTTTATGAACCCCACCAGATAGAACACTGTTAACGTAAATATAGAGACTTTATCTGCATATAACTTTTTACGCCCGTTGGGCAGTTTGAAAATTCAAAAATATGTTTCGTTATTCAGAGATTTTTTTTTTCTATACTACAGATTGAGAGTGGTACCGCCTTGACCCTACAGTAGCAAACATTGAATAATCATCAACCTTTCATGGCACGATAAAAAAACAGAGACCTAACCACACAATAAAAGAAAAAGGTATTTAAACAGGTTTTAGACAAAATGCCTTTAAAAACGTCACCACTATCTGCTTTTTTTTTTTTTTTGTGACAGTTTAGCCATTTCGCGTGATTCGCTGCGCTTATCGATGTGTTCAAGTATACACTGTGCAATTCTGCTCGGATACCAAGTGTGAATGTTTCTTAATATATAGTTGTCAGAAAGCGCCTGTGTTGCCTGTATCTCTTCTTCGTCCCTTTTTTTCTTTCGCGCTTCCTGATGTCCACCTCGGTGGATCAGTGGCTAGAGTCCTCGGCTGCTGACCGCTGGTTCAATTCCGGCTGCAGCGGTCACATATTAGGGAGTTGGCAGCTATACTGGCAGCTATACAATTTGGGCGGCGTTTGCATTGTGGGCTGTAAAAGCTCGTCGCACTCCGCAGCCTCATAACAGACCGTGACAATTTCGGAGATACCGTCTCTTATCTGCTCTCGCCGAAGACAATAAGCTTGAGAAACCGCCCCCTCCCTCCACGATTGCCACGAATGTTATCGAAGCTGTGAAATCGCTTCCGCTGGTTGCGGCGTGTCGCTTCACGCATTGGACAACGCAATATTTTACGTCACCCATTGCGCCTTTGTCCTTAAATACAGTCCGTATTGCTTCATCACAAAAGACCGTTGCCTGTATAGTGAACTGGTCTTTGCGGCAACGGCTGAAATGCGGTGGTCAATCCTCATCGTCCTGGTTGCTGCCGGTAAGTAGCATTGGCTTAAGGGGGTTGGGAAACTCCGTTCAGTTCAGGCTGGGGCTAACCGCCCAGTCAAGTGTCCCTCCTCCTGTCTGGTGAAATTTGGCTTTAAACATCACATACTTTAGTTACTTGACAGTCAAGTATAACACATTCATTTTGCCTTAAGAAACTGTAGGTGCGTTGGTAGAAGATGACTACGTGTGCAAATCAGCTCAACAGACAGAATGGGAGAGAAGAAAGGACTTGGGATATGGGTTGCTAGTGTTTAACTGTACACTCTTAGAAAAAAGGTAGTAGTATTGGTTAACTTTGGGGTAGTAATGGTTTGCCACTCATGTTACAACCCTGTTAGTAAGCGCAGTTAGTAATGGCGAGGGCGGTAAGAGTTGCTGCCTTTCCTGTTACTACCAGCATTTAGTAACTGTCACTACCTTAGCCATTACCGCCCATGGCTAATAACATTTAAATGTTTCAAGAAAAAAAGCAGTAACC